CTGATGTGAGATGGGTAAAGGTTACAATAAACTCTGCATGGTTTGAAGTCTGAGCTTTTCTATATCTATGAACTGTCTCTTTGTAGTACCAAATTTCTAACTTAATCCCATTACATAGAGGTTTGAATGAGGTCTCTAGTCTATGCCTGACAACTTGGTAGAAATTTTTAAAGGCTATATCTGTTTTAATATAGCATTATTGCAAATAAATTTACGTTCCTAGACATGCTAATGAGCTATATATTTCAATAATATTTCAAATATTTGGCAAAACATTCAAGTATTGTTCACTTCATTTTTTTTTTTTGGAAAAAAACGTAACCAAAATGTGTTGTATTTATGCAAAAACGATGCCCACAAAATACATTTTGTAATGCTCTGGAAACGCTGAAATGGCATTTTAAGCTCTTGAAATTCAAAATTTCTCAGGAGAGAATGCCCTTGACCCCCTATATGCGGAGCGCCTCCGATGTTTTATGACTGATGTTTGAAAATCCTAGATCCGCCCCTGGTTTCGACAACCTTAGCTGTAGTCATCTTCAGAGTCAAATGAGGAGTAAACGTCAGGGTTAGCTGTATTTGTTAACTGGTTCTTACGTCATTGTATTGTGTGTACAGAAAATGTGGATGTCAATTGTGTATGGTCATTTGAAATAATATGAAGTGTGATGTTTTTAGTTGAGATAAGGATTTAGTTGTGATGTTTTTTATTTGTAATGCGTGTCAATTGTGTATTGTCACGAATTAGTGTGAAGTGTAATGTTTTAGTTGATCGTTTGTTTGTATTGTAAGGTGCCGGTAACCTGACGTTTACTCCTCATTTGACTCTGAAGATGACTACCGCTAAGGTTAATGAAACGTTAGTCAACAAATAACAAAACAGTCCTTCTCAAGACTATACCAACCTGGACGATCTACATTTACAATATATATAGTTTATGTATGAAACAGTTGAATAATTTTTCCCTTTATTATTTGATTGAATCAATGCTGTTAGCTGCCTGCTAACAGCAAAACAATGTCTCCTCTTTAGTGGAAAGCACAGGATTAATGAGGGAACAGTAACATTTCCAAGACTGGAGCTAACTGATTCTGGCATGTACGAGTGTGTTGAAAACAGTTTAAACAACATTTATCAAACTGCTCATTTGAATGTCAGAGGTTTGTATCACGTTTATGTAGAGAGCTAAGTCTTAGGACATGCAAACCCTAGAAGGATGACATTCTCAGGTAAACTTGGAAAAATCACGCAAATGAATACAGTAAACTCTCGTTTTAAAACGGGGTATCGCTGTTTTATTTTGTTTTTAAGTGTTGATTTGAATTCGTAGGTCAATATTACTTCAAAGTTTGTCCCTTCCATATTGGTGTCTGATAAATTCTAGGTGTCCATTGTAGCTAGAGAAACATGGAAGATGTTTGTTGGGGACCACATGAAGTGTCCGCAATGCCTTTTATAACGAGAGTCGGCAGGGTGTTGGCCTCATTTGTATTGTTTTTACGTTTCTGTTTGCATTTTTGGTGCTTCAAGGAGCCGTGTATCAATTGGTTGGAAAGTAGCATCTTGTATAAATTTTTTTGTTTTGCCTTTAGCGGAGAAACCTGTTTTTCACGAAAACACCGGCACGAAAACATTATTCATCGGAAATAAAGGAGTGATTGAATGTCGTGCAAAAGCTGCACCATCTGCCAAGAACACGTGGGAAAAAGATGGCGTCAAAATTGATTTCACGTTTTCAAAATATACTTTGCCAATCATGAAAATCTCGTTATCCGTGAGTACAAATATTGCAATTAAACGATGAAAAGTTTGATTTACCTTTTCTCTTCGGAACTGTCATGGCCAATGGCTGTACAATAATGTAAGCAGTCCTCCTTAGTGTCTAGGCCGGGTGACGTTTCTACGTCCATTGACTTGAAACATAACTTTCTAAAAACGAACAAAGGTCATGTATAACATTACTAACTGGATGGTGAATATAAACGAGCTTCACAGAAAATGCCTGTAATATTCTACGTATGAATAACTCAAAACCATCCACAGGATAAGGATTTTTACTAAACTTATCAAAAATAGGCACTGCGGGTGTACATGTACGCACAGCTGATTTTTGGAATCATTGTAACTCCATGCAGCAATGGGTTAGTGAAAATAACTGTGTTGATGCACAAAGTTACTTTAATTTTATAGTATAGTTGTGAAACTTTGTTGTTAGAACTTACTCATCGTTTACACAAAAAGATTTTTTGCCTGCGTCTACTGTGTGTACAACTTTACATAAATTATATATTCCATTTTATATTGCTAAACAATTATTGAGTTACCAAAACCTTATACATACAGCTTTATGGTCTGGAGAAACGTTTTGAAGTTTTTCAGAGCGTTTTGAATTTGAACTTGACTTGTCTCTTGTGTATTTTAGTTATGTAGCTGTTTTTGTGCACTCTTTTATCGAGGGATCAATGGATGTTGTTGTCTCTTTAGAGAGGGTAAGCAAGCAAGATTGTGAAATTATACTTACTGCTAAAATACATATGGAAGCGATCCAGAAGATAAGCGTTCAGGTCATTGGTGAAATCAATTTTGCTGACACTCCCAAAAATATCGAGAGGTTAGGGGCGAAACATTTAAATTAAAGTGCAAAGCTGAAGGTAAGTGTTAGTCTAGTAGGCTTGTTTTTGCAAGAATTGTAATGAATAACTGAGGTCTGGTTCAGGTACACCGCATAGATTTAATCAAAACAGAAACAGAAAGTTGTCAAAGTTGCTGTAAATTTCAACTTCTGTACGATACGAAAGCTGGCAGCTGAAATTTCATTAAAAGGCTGTGTTGTAAACCTCTAAATTCCTCGAGTTTCCTTTTGTTATTTCTGTTCTGAAATGATATTCTGCTACATTTCCTTGCTTTGGTCTCTTGAGTGAAATATTTGTAGTGTGAAAATGGGGTCAACTAGACAAAATATGTGTTGTTCAAAACCGAGTGCACGCATAGGTGACATTCCAAGTTTGAAGCTTGTGGTTAGTCCTCATCAACGACTAACATACAAGTTTGACATAAACTTAAGCAGGTGCATTTATACACCAGATGTCTCAAGTATATAATGTACATACAATAATTTGTGTATGCAGGCGATAAAGACAGTGCTACGAAGCTGGTGATCAAGTACAAATGGCAAGTCGATGGTAAAGATCTTGTTTATGACGATTCGGTGGTTTGGTCAGAACAGGCCTTACCCCCTCATCTTCCTTAAAACTGAGGTAGAGTCTGATATAAGTTTTGTACATTCATAAACTTTCATCAACTACCCGAAAATCGTGATACCATTTATCTTATATGAACTTTGTTGAACATGGTTGTAGGAACGGATTGCGCGTTATCTGATAAATTTGACTTACTGTAGGTTGCGCAAAGTGGTACTTATGAGTGTATTGCCTATATTGATCAACCCTCGTATGCTGAAAACGAATGACGATCATCGTCAAAATTAAAGGTGAAAATACAGGCGTTTGATGATCTTGATTTAGTTTCTTAGTAGTTCACATGTTGATAGTCATGTTCTGGTTTGCGTTGGAAGTAAAATTTATCGATTTGTTTATATTGTGAATTCTTTGTTTAGTAGTTGTTGTCCGTATGTCATTTTACGCATAATTTTATAAGGAAAATTAGACATCCGCCTTTGCAGTTGTTCTGATTGTTTTACGTCTCAGGTCCCCCGAAGCTCCCAATAAGGTTGAAATTGATGGTAATTGCAGCTTGTTCATTGCTAAGATAATGTGGAGTACCACACCGTCGAACCAGAATACCATTAAACACTTTATCATACAAAGATGACGTCGTACGGGGGTAGACACTTGGTACAACGTGAGCGAGAAACGTGGATGCAAAAGAGTTTATGTGGACTGTTAAAAATCTATCGCCTTTACGAAAATATTTCGCTCCGCGTTCTTGCTATCAATGATTGGTACGAGCGCACCCAGTGAGCCCACAAAATTTGATAACTGCGTCACACCTGCAAGGTAAAACAATTTCAGATAATTTTTTCCATTTAAAGTTTGAGCTACACAACATGGTGTCCAGTATTTGTCCCAATACACGGTTTTGGGTGTTGACGTACCGAGATTTGGTTTCAAGAGACTTAGTAGCATTGTTCTTATTTCTGAGACAAATCTTCAACTGAAAGTATTACAGACTGCAAAGCGTGTCACCGACTTTAGAATTTAAAATGAATTGTTTTGCATCTTTTGAAACACGAAAGACTTTGTTGTATCTATCCTAGTTACTAATGCTTTGTGTGATTTTTACCTAGAACCAACGAAGTGTCCCAATATCAGCGCCTTTCCAGGAAAAGCCAATGAATTGACATTAAAATGGGAGGTTGGTTCTTACGTTTTATTCTTTGCAAGTAGATTCTGATTGGTTCAAAGACACGTAATGAATTCGTTATGTTCAACAAAATGAACAAATCTAGTGTCATATAATGTGTGAAAATTAACAGTGTCTTGTTGCCATAACTTTACTCGTACATCATAAATATGCTAACGCCTAAAAGCTCACTGCACTCGCTGAGTGCGACAAAGAAATTTCAGCCCCAAAAATCAATGGCAAACCTAAAAAGAATAGTTAATGTAATAATTTTGAAGGAGCAAGCGTGACCGAGCTTTTCGAATACAGGAGTAAGTTTTATTGAATAAGTACAATGTTTTGTGAATTAATATGTTTTACTAACATTTATTTTTGCAAGGGAACCATATGATGTTACTGAACTTACGCAACTGACTAATAGCGTCAACCTTTAAACATTTTTAAAGGAAAACTTTATTTTCTTTGAAGCACAACTTTTCTCCTTTCTTTCAGAAAATGGACCGCATATATCACAATGGAGGTGATTTCCATTATGTTCTTGAGTATTATTCTCGATAAACGTCAATCCAACACCAAAAAGATTTGAACGCTACCAGTACGAATTCAAGATCCCAAATGCTGGCTATTATCATCTGTGGTCGTATAAAATCCAAGGGAAAACATAGTTGGTGGTGGGCCATTTTGTGAAGGGAATGCCTATTCTGGCCAGAATGGTAGGTCGAGTATCGATAAATTGCTAGAACGGATTTTAACGGCCTGCTTATGTTGATGTCGAGTTAACACTTGAGCTGCCAGAAAAATATACAGAAAGTGTGTTCAACTTCGAAATTCTTAAAAGATTGGCTGCATTTGGTCTTCATGTTTGAGCTTCCTTGTTTATCTCTTTTCTTTTTAGTGATTATACGTCGCTTCCCATCTGTCTTGCAGTCCTTTGTTTTATCTCTCTTTTTCTTTTTGTTCTGTCGTCTTGTTTGCTTTTCCCTTGTTATCTTTGATGATTTTGTATCTCCGGTTTTGCTTTTTTGTTTATCTCTGCATTCCTTGGTTCATTCTTTGTTTATCGCCCTTTTCTTTTTGTCCAGGTTGTTTGTTTATTGTGCTTCCTTTTGTTTTCCTTGTCACCTTCCTTTCTTTGTTATCTGGCTTCCTTGCTAAACTCGCTTCTTTTTCGGCTTTTTTTGTCGATCTTGTCGTCACGCTTCAGTTTAATGTATTGTCAACAGTAATTTGTTTAATATTGATTCTCACCTGTATAGATATTACTAATCGTCAACCCATCAAGCATCAAAAGGAGACTTTTTATTTTGTTTTATTTCATAAGCCAGAAAGTGTCCTGATATGTGACGTTTCGATTTATCGACTTTGTTTGATATTTCTAGCTCCGGACAAAGCACCTTCGCAACTTACTGTTAGTAAAATTGGTGCCAGATACTTCATTGTCCAGTGGAAAAACTTACATTGAGAGAGGAAGCGTTGATGGCTATAACGTTAGTAGAGCTTATATGATATTGTCAGGGGCTGTTAGGAGACACCGCGCATGTACACCAGTGGTTAGTGTAATACACGTGAAACATTTGACATATTATACAGTTAAAGTGGCAGCGCATATGTTCCTTTAGCCATGCAGTTTTAACATCAAGGATCTAAAATGGGCGAAGTTTGCACATGCGTAATCACTTCAATTTAGCTACGTCGGGCGACCATGTTTTTTTTGCAGGCATACGAAAAAATTTTACAGGCAACGGAAAAGTCGTTGTAACGAACTTTGTTCTCATACATTCTAACACAATTGCTCAAAGCTGTGGATCGGCAAATATTGAAAATTTTTTCGAGAAATTTGAATTTTGCATTTTTTCTCAAATGTGCATCTATGTCTCTTCTGAATCAATACGGTTTGCCTTTGGCTTAAGCCACTTGCAGGTAGCGCCCCTCACCTTAGCTCCCTCAACATTTTACACTGATCTTACACTGAGGGCGGCTGCCACTCTATTTTTGTAAGGCGTCAACAGTGCATTTATTTTCTTCAGCTCATATTTACAATCAACTTGGCACCTCTTCAACATCGCGTCGTTCGATCAATGCGAATCTTTGCACGGAGGATAGTACATGCGAACTGAATATCAGCGCCAGCCTCACATCCAAACGTGTCGACGGTCTTCTACCCGACACCGAATACAGAATATCTCTTCGCGGTTATAATAGCGGCGGATTTGGTCGCCGTAGTGCACCCATTTTAGTTCGAACAATGGAAGACGTACCCGAGGCAGTTGCTACCCTTACCCTCACGCCGTACGCCAAGTTTGTTAAAGTAGAGTGGACGGAACCGAACCAACCAAACGGAATTATCACCAAGTACAGAATATCCATTGATAAGCAACCCAATTTTAAACCTATCATTCTTAACGCCAATACCAAAAATACATCTTCGGATCGCCTGAGACCAAAGACTGAATATATCGTGACCGTACAGCCCAGTACGAGTAAAGGTTATGGCAGAAACGTGCCGACTCGGTCGAAACACTCTTCACCACAAGGTAAAGTGAGCTATCGTCGGGCTTATGTAATATGTTTCTTGCTAGGTTTTCGAAAATTAACAAAAAATTCTCGGAAAAGAGATTGTAAATTGCACGTGATATTTTTGCAGCAATAAACGTTATGCCATTTGGTCAAATGGAACCGTCGAGTGAAGCACTTTTGAGTGCAAACCGCAGATAGTTAAGAGTACAGTGACGTAGTCAGAAGTTGTGCAACCTACGTTCAGCCTAAATAATTTTCTTCAATCAGGCTTTTACTGAACCTACCATTTTAATGCATGCAGATATCAAATCGAAGAACCAAATTTGTTTGATGGCTACGCTTTATAGACTACATAAACTCAGGTATGAAATTGACTTCATAAGCTTGTGCTCAAACTTTCAGTGAGAGCGAATTGTAGCTACATACAACTGAATTGATTTTAAATTACCTAAAATGCAGTACTTCTACAATGAGATGTAGACTATTGATTTGGTATTCAAAGCATGAATATATATAGGATTTATCAAAACTAAAGAAAACCATGCTACGGATAGAAATGGTTCGATTTCCGATTTGAAAAGACTACCACTAGCAATTCAGTTTTGAATTTATTTTACTCGTTTAATATCTCGATTTAAATTCGTTCCGTCTTATTTGTTCAGTGCCTGTGGTCCCAAAAGCCTGATTTTGGAAGTAATATCAGTGAAAATGGTAAAAACGTGATTTTCCAAGAAGGACAACCTGAACAGGATTTCCGAAAATCCTCGTGTATTATCGCATCAAAGGTAAAAGACTTTCATATATTAGATTATGCATTCGAAGTGAGAACATCGTATTTTTTTCATCCTGTTACGATATAAATTTCTGAAACTCTAAGTATAAACGTTTTGTTTCAGACGGCGAAGATAATGGAATGGGCTAATTTGACAGATCCTGGGACTATTTTGGTACGGATGGTAAGTCGTACGTGAAATATACGATTTGAAACGTGAAGGGGTGATGTGTATGAGTTTACTCACCATTGCTTTGAACAACGAGGGCAAAAGCGAAAAGGGTGTCATTGGAGAAGTTCGCCCAGGAAACAATAAAAAAGGTTAGTTTTCAACTTGTTTGTTTGCTATACATTTAGGCATGCGCAATAATTTATTTCTGAATAAAAAATAATGACGAGATCATAGGTTACAACAATTACATAACTTAAGTTACAACAGTTCAACAAATTGCACGATGTTGAATGGAAATGTTAGATGCCCAAAACACATGTGTACACAGTATGTCAACATCATTCATCATTTCGTGAATTCTTTGGTAAAAGTGCTTTCTGAAAATTATTGATCGTGCGGAGACATTTACGACAAACATGGTGCTGTCGATAGTGCGTCCAACTTGTTTTGAACAAGATTTTCCCCATTTGCTGATGTTGGACTGCATTTAGACAAAATGTATCAAACTTAATATTCAATCAAATTTTTCTCTATCTGCAGGTGTAAAGAGGTTTTGCTCTATTTTATTTAGGTTTCTTGCAAAAATACAACTGTTTCTAAATGTTTTTTCCTGCCAAATCGTGCCTACGAACAATCCTTAGACTGAAAACTTTTTACCGTTCGTAGCTAAAGCAGACAACTTCGCTGGTCAAACGCGCCTGGTTCATTGTTGTCATCATAATAGTTTTCTTGCTTCTGATATTGCTGATGGTGGCATTGCTAATAACAAGGAAACGCGGCGAAAGATACCCCGGTATGTTGTGTAGTACGTTTTAACTGAGAGATATGGTTTGGCGGTTTGCATTTTGTATTTTATAATTCGCATTGTCATTAGCTAAATTTTTGTATTTTGTGAAATGCTTGTCGATGAAAAAGACATACTCATGATGTATACTCACATGAAATAATTACATTCAGCCATAAACGTCACTTGGTTGTATTAAAAGTATTGAAAAGCTTGCGGTACATCACCTACCGCAAGATGGGCCTCTTTGCCGTTAAACCTGAATCGCAAAGCCATGGTCACGTGACTTTTTGCGGTTTGCCGTGCGCCAAACTAAAACTCTTTAACGACGCTATTTTCAAGTTGGAAATGCATACGCTTGAAGCGTAAGCGAAAGTAAAGAATATTTGGTTCTTATTAAAATGTTAAGACTTAATGGTGTTATGGCACAGTATAGAAACATACAGTAGTCTCTCCACTGTACAACTTGGTGCTGTATATTTAATTAGATTACTGGCTGCGGCTAGCCATCCCAGCTCCTATTAGCCGAAAAAGCATTTGACTGGCTGCCACTATGCTAATCACATGCTTAATAAGATATGCACTACACAAAAAAATTCCATAGAGGGACTTCTGTTTGTTTCTATACTGTGATTATGGTTTGTGATGTTATGCTGTTTTTCCGACAGTTGGAAAACGAGAGAAGAAGAGAGCAGGTGGTATACTTGATATGGCAGATGAAGCGGATTATGGCGCGTATCTCATGAAAGATCACAGGTTAGAGTTTAGCATTTTTATGAATGCCAACTTCAGAGACAATGTAGATTGTTTTTATCGGTCGCCATGTTGGGGAAAATTTCATATAGTGAAAAAGAATTTATGTTCATTTCATACTTTGTTGAGCATCGGCATTTTGATGTACTCTCCCAACATGGCCGCATGCAAACATTGTACAGGGTGTCAAAAAAAAATGTAACTAGCATTTATAACAGATCAATGAACTCGACAGTTCTGTGCCTCTTGGATTTCATACATACACTTATTTCCAACATGTTATGACATACTGATATACACTAATTTCCAACGCAAATGCATTATAACAGCCACAAAAAGTGGTCATATTCTCCTTAGTTACAACAAATTATGAACAAACTAGCGTTTGACTAAATTAACAAGGCGAAACAAATAGCTACTGCATACTAAACTATTTAACGCAGATTTCATTTAAGTGCATACATAATTATTCGTTTTTTTTGGGCGACACCCCGCCGTTGTAGTAGTAGAACGTTCAATGCCATACGAAAACATTTGCAAAATTTAATATTTTTTCAACAGGTCAAACGGAAATGGTGTGAACCGGCAAAACAGTAACGCCTCGATGCCATACAGAGATCCTGACCGCGATAGTTTGGAGGCGTATGGTGAAGAAGATCGTTTCGCCGAGGATGCAGCTTCATTGATCGGTGTTTATAACGATGACCGAAAACATGGCAAAGGTAAAGGCATGTTCGAGCCGGAAGCTGTGTAAAGCAACAAGAGAGGCTGTGCCTATGGTTAACGTCGGTTTCGACCAAGAGATAGCATTGCTCGCTGAGTCCGTTTCACACTTTTTTAGATATAATAGTTTAAGCTATTTGTAATTATTTGAGCTGACAGCGACTCAGGTTTTGAACTGATTTAAAATAGTGAAGATAGTACTTGAAGACTCTGCAAAAGGAATATTTTAGAAAGGTGAATCATTACATGTTATAAAAAAACATGAATTCAACGAACTCTTCATTAAAGAGATGGCCGTTTTGTAAAGTTATGGAGGATCAACTTTTAGTCAAAACTATTTCTAACGTTATTTATGCAACGATATACAACTGTTCTTAATATAAATGAAATTAGTCTGTAAATTAGTAAATATTAGTTTTATTTCGTAAATTATTTCATATTTTTACTCAATTTTCCATACAGAATTCAGAAAACCACGACTAATTTGTATCCTTGCTTTTTCTTTACGCATTAACTTTATAGGTGGCTTCGTTAATGTGAATGACATTTCATATTTTTACAGCAGTTGATGGCGAATTATTTTTCATAAATATTTACTAATATAATTGGACAGGGCCTTTGCACTTTCAGCAAATTGATATGTTTTTGGGGTTTGACGCACTAACCACATGCAACAACAATGACAAGGCTATTTATTATTTATACACCTTAAAGATCAAACATCGGTTTCTTTGCTTAATTTTACTGAAGCTGCTTCCAATTATTATTTATCAAGATAACTGCAATTTCACTGATAGTGAAAGGCTTCAATTATCGACGTTTTCGTGACAGGGAGTTTGCACGATGCACGCTGCAAATCGACGACAATGCATCAATATCGCTGGCGCTTACGACAATGATGTTGTTGTGGCTTAACCCAATCAAAATCGACCCAAGCAACTCTCAACCATTCTTGTGCAGTGATTTACCCGTGCATGTCAGAGAATTTTTCTCAAGATACAACCGTGTTTAAATAGTCGCCAATAAAGGCTAACTTTTCCCGTACTTTGCGGGCTATCGCATCTGCGTCGTTTGTCCAATCTCCGCCACTTCCACCTGAGGAACTTTCTGGCTTTAGGCGGGCCTTACGCACTAATTCATCGCCAATTTTTGCGAGACGCGCCCCGAGTTTTTGTAGAAGCGTTTTTCGTGACGTTTTTGATGCTCTGATGTTCAATTTGTAAAATGATGCGCCGCTTTTCCGTCATCTTTCGACTCTTTTGAGACGTTGTTCGTCGACGATATTGGCCGCCACATTTTTCTGTCGATATGATAATTTTTGTTCGTTGCCGGGTCAAATACGTAATAAAAATCCTTTTCATCCGATCCTGATGTCGTTGCTGAAAAAACACACAAAATATTCGTTAAATTTTATGAATAGTGGCACTGTAATTCTACAATTTAGTGAAATAGTGTTGAAATCAAAACAAAAAACAGGAATCGTGTTTTTTTATATAATATCCAACTAAACTGTGGAACCCAAACAACCCAAAAAGTTCAAGCAAAATTACTAATTGCGAATTATAAAGCAGTATACGGTTATGGCAGCCGTTTGATTGTAGTATTCTTATGCAAAATACATACGGGCTACAAATTCCAAGCACGCAATGAAATTACTTGTCACTAGGAAAGTAAAACTGAAATTTTGATCATACGTAAAACCCTTGCGAAAACGAACCATTTTTTTCGTGTATTCGGAAAACAACATTACAAAATTCAGTTCAAGACAACATTGTGCAGTTTTATCAGCGAAATTTTGTCAAGGAAAACCTAAAATGTAGATGAGAAATCTTGAAATTACCAACTTGTGGATTGCATATTTATTATTGTTAATGCTATGAAATTTTCGTTCTTACCTTGAGGATGTGAAGAATTATGAGTTTTCGAATCCAAACTCTCGACGTAAAACATGATTTTATGCTCTTTCCAAAAAGCACTCACTGTCAGAGATAACTTGTATACTGATGTGATGAGCTAGCTTCGCTTGTTTTATACCGACGGCTTGCATGACTTGGAGGGTCGGATCGATGTCGATTAATTAGGAAGGTGTATGAGAATATATTACGATATTCCAAACATGTTTTAGCTGATTGCATGGGAACAATTATTTTGGCAGAGTGCGACATGAAAAGCGTAATTCAGCACGAAAGGTTATGAAGACGCGAAAAAGCCCTCATTTACATTGACCAACGGTTTAATAAATCTTTCAAGCTCTCAATCTGGGCTCTTCGGATATGTTGTTTTTCGACAAGAATACACTAGCAAGTGTGTCAAAAGCCGCTTCAATCGGTTTTGCTAAAACAAGCAAGTCATATTCAATTTCGTGTGTTCTTTGATCATGCACCGCGCAACGAGTCGCCCTTTCGTGATAATGAATGCGCTTTACAATCGGAACTTTCACATTATTGGTCTTCTATTTTGCCTCTTTCAGTCCAATACCGAATCTGATTTTGTCATTGTCTCTTACAAAAATCAATGAAACAATTTCACCTGCCCGAGTTGTAATTACCATCCATCATTTAACCTTTCAGCCTAATTTGAACTTGAACTTGTTCATGTTTAAAATATTCATGATATCCAGCCTCGGTTTTAAATGATTTGCACATTCTGCAACTGCTGGAACTGTGTAATGTCTGATAAAGAATACCGTGAAATAAGTTTTTGCATTACGCATGGAAAAGCAATACTACGACGTTTTAACGCTTTTCCACCCGTGATAAAAGTTCACAACAAAGTTTTCCTCGTGCACAAAATGCTTATATTGCCGCGCATTTGTTGTTTCACAGCTTGGCATTTATTTTGGGATGTTCTTTCCGGCCATGTCGTATTGACAACTTTTAAAGGGAATTTTAAGAACGTCTCTCTCAGCCGTACAGCTTGGTGTAGTGGGTCTTGTACAGAGAGTTGCTGAGATTGGATAACAACAGGAAGAGAAAACGAGCGGGGTGGAATTACATGCGCAAATCAATACAATGAAGGCTGCCATGCTATGAGAATTTTTGCTGGTTGTATTTGATGCTTAACACTTGCCTCAAGAAAAAGCATGCAACATTATGCCTTGCCTGTTTCCAGATAAGAAAAGCAGAAAAGGAGGTCCATGCTACTAATATACATTTCCCTGGCTCTGATTTCTCACGGGGAAGAGTTTGCGATCCGTGGTCATTCTCATGAAAAAGGTTAACTTCATCAAACTATAGAGTTAAGGGCTGAAAATCACGCAGAACTTCAAGGGTGGACAAAGCTGGGAAAATACAAATGACCTATTTGAGCTACTCTGTCTACAGGTACATTGTGCACTACATCGACTGCATGTTAATAAATATAAGAATGGTTTTCATTAATTAGTATATTAGTGATGTAACAAGAAATACAAGTGCGTACTGAAAACAGCTAGAAATGTCAGTTAAGGAATTAATTAGTTTTATGAATGGTGTGACCGTAGGAGGATTTTTTCTACTCTATGTGTACACAAATAGATGCTACAACGTTGATACTCAGTATTTTTAACGCCATCGTTGAAATCTTTCCCCGAAGAGTTATCAAGGACAAGCCATATGGCGGAGCCGCATTTATTGCTCATCATCTCAATGGATTTTCTGCCCAAATTCCAGAGAAAAAACCAAAACCTCTGTCTGTGCGTTTTCTTGCTCATACTGTAAATCCAAATCTTTGTTTCCAAGAATGTAGGGGAAGGCAAACTCGTTACAATTATCAACTAAACACTTGCTCAGTTTAATCGAATTAAGGCTGAGTTGGCTCCCAATAATTTTTACTTCAAATTTCGCGCCGGACTAGGATGCCAAAGAATTATGCACGAAGACGATATGAAGGAAGGACCAACAAAGGTGTAGTTGGGCATCTTACACTTATGACAAAATTCAGCTAATATTCAGCAGGCTTGAGGTTGTTAGATCTAGCTTTTGTTTCAATAGGGAAATTGGCTATTTCGCTTCATGAGTCGAATGCAGCTGTCATTGCTGCTAGTACCGTTATAGAAGATAGTAGTCACAGTCACGGACTAAAAACATAATACAAGCACAGGTTCTTCACAACAAGTGCCATATTGCTCTCTACCAAGTAGCAGAAAAGTCATCAGCATTAATCTGTAGAAGACTAAAGACTTCAAGACGGTGCAGTACTTTGAGATGCTTGTTAAGAATAAACTGTAATCTTTATTCCATAAGCATCCATTAATATTAAACAGATTACAAGAACTGCATGGATAAGAAATTGACTTTGACTGCCCAGAAGCAACATGTTCGCCCATTTTGAGAATTTTAGGTTAAACATGTTTCATTTGCAAGCCGATTTAGATTGTTCAATAACAAGTTTCCAGAGATAGTTGCACAGCGATTAATTTGGGAGTACACTAGTAGATGCCTTTGTCATAGCTGTAAGTAGTACTGGGTAGTCTATCTTTACCGGACTCTCTCAAATATTTTCAAATAAGTTATGTCTCATCATAAATAGAAAAACCAAAAATACATATAATGACTATAAACACGATAGTTATATTGGAAATTTCTAGATGCTATGCATTTTATCACATAGTCTGATGATGTCAGTACTGATAAGTGAGTACACATGCAGGGGCAAAACTAGAACATTAATTGAGGGGGGGGGGAGAAAGTATACTCATATAATCAGTTGTACCCAACTGATTTCTCATAAAAGTAAATTAACTTTGAAAAGAATTCAGCAGGGCGTATCAACCCTACCGGATCAACCCTATTTGGAGGTCTGAAATGCCCATATTTCAGGCAAACAGCAAGCACAAACCAGGTCATTTCCTGTTGTTCAACTGCCTCCTCTCAATAACCACAAAGAGTGCTCAAGTCAAAATAGTATGATAACATTTAAACAGAATTGCCACTGGCAGACAATAAAACCGCACAATAAACTTTAATGAATGTTTTTTCAATTAAAAATGTGCCACTACAAATAAACCCACAACTATAAGCACAAAGAAATATTGAATGTTGATTAACAATTGACCTTCTTTTCCCAACAATTCTATAAATAGAAAACATATTTTAAGGTGAACCACAATGAAGAGAAATGAGTACACAAAACCCTGTATACTTAAACTACAAGAC